TAATATACATGAGTCAAGAAGCCGAAATCAAGTGTCCTCCAAGCAGATCTCCTCGATCTTAAGTGTACCTATTCACACATTATGCTGCAGATTTACTCATCGTTCGATTCGTCGCCCGATTCCCACTCGCGTAGTTCATCTTCAGAGATACGATCTTTGAGCCATTCGAGAACCGCATCAGTCCCCTTGGCTACCACCTGCCAACGCGGAACCCGAAAACTGTTTCCTGCCACTTCGAAGCGTCGCAAGGGCGAGCCGTTGCCCCAATTCTTGCTAGACCCTTCGGCCCTTAACAGGCCGAGCTTCGGCGGCAGGACGCCAATATCGTTGTTTCCTACGTCTAGAACCTGCAGACCCTGCACAGCTTCAAATTCGAGACTGCTGATTCGGTTATCAGAAGCCAGTAATGTTGTCAGGTTCGGGTAGCTCCGGCGCATGGCAGGAAGCGGTCCGGAGAGGCGGTTGGATGAGACATCTAGGTAGGTGAGACCTGGAGCAGTAAGGCTATTTAGTAGCGGCTCAAGTGTAGTCAAGCCGGCGGCGGTAATGGTGAGATTCTGAAGAGAGGGAAGGGCAAGGGGCCCTGAGAAGAGAGATGCAGTATTGAGCGGGTTATTCGAAAGATCCAGGTCAGCTAGGTTTGATGCGAGCATGCTGAGCGCTGGAACAGGGAAGCATTGTAACTCGTTGTGTTGTAATTGGAGGCATCGGACTTCGTGGAAATCGATGCGTTCCAACTCCTGTACTTCTACATCCCGCAGATCGGTGTAGGACCTGTCGACGACACCACCAGACTTGATCTGCCAGGACGCCGTCTGGACCGGTGTTTCTGGCGCCAACGTAAACTGAGTCGCAACAGAACCTTCGTCGTCTGTATCTTGCGGTTCCGGTTCGCATCGGTTACGCAAATCGCGCTTCAGGTCCTCCGTGTTCATGCTCAGAAACTTGCGCTCCCGCAGGGGATTATTGGCTATGCGGAAGGTGACGAGACTCTCCATCAAGCCGATCCTCTCGTCCAGTCTTGAAATATCGTTACCAGTGAAGTCCACGTTCCTGATATTTTTCAGGTCAGTGAACCCGTGAGGAAGTTCTGATAAACTGTTATCTTCCGCTAACAAGGTCAGGAGAGCTTGCCACGATGAAACATCAGGTAGAGATTGAATGCGGTTCGTGTTGATTGCTAGAGTCTGCAAATTGGGAAGTTCGAGGCCATTGTTCTCCGAGAGGCTCACCAATGCGTTGCTGGCTACGTCCAAGATCTGTAGTGTCTCGAATTTTGGCACAGAAGCTGGCAAGAGAGTCCCCTTCAATTTGTTTTTCGGGGCGTGGAGCTCCTTGAGTGGGAGCATGTGCAATTCTTCGAATGGTAAAGTGCTTAAATGGTTATTTCCCACGTTTAAGACTCGGAGGGAAGCCAGTTTTGCTAGCTCTCCAGGAAGCTCTGTTAATGAGTTCTCGTGCAATTCCAGTACTTCCAGGTTGCAAAGGCGTCCGATATCCGCAGTGAGACCTCCTTGAAGCTTGTTCCTGGCGAGTCTCAGATCCCTGAGAGTTGATAGGACCATAACAACATTTATGTCGTCCATACTGAGATTGTTGTTTGATAGGTTCAGGGTGTGCAGCCGCTCCAGCCTTCTGAGGCCTATTGGTAGCGATTGCAGAATATTGCCATGAAGGTCTAAAAGTTCGAGCCCGCCAAATTGATTTCCCCTTTCGTCAACTTCTGGGTCTAGCTCGTGTGCATCGATATCGGGGAATGCATCATCGGGGAGCTCCGTGAATTCGTTATCCGCAGCGATAAATTTAACAAGGTCCACACTTTCATACCAATCGGAGGTGGAATTGGTATCGAAGTCGTACATTGTCATGACTTCTTTTGGCAATTCTTTAAGAGACATAGCCGCGATATTCAAGTGACCGGAAGTTCGACCTGCATCAATGCGCTTTCGCAAAAGTCCATGGTTTGGATCCTTAGGACCTTGGTTGAACGGATCTTCCGTATCAAAATTGAACCCATCGGCTGCAGTTGTCGGCTTCGTGGCTTTCTGAGCCTCGGCCTTGCGCGCGGCTTTCGCCTTTGCGATACTTTCTCTTAGAGCGCTAGATGATTTCGAGACCTTTCTTGTTTCCATCTCAGTCTGCTGTTCCGGAGTAAGATCTGATGAAGTGGATTTTGCCGATGGCGACCGTGTACCCATTAAGGATGGCCTCTGGGCGGAGAGACTCTGCTGGACCTTCCGGGTTTTCTTCACTTCGAGGCGATCCTGCGGAGCATCTACAGTAGGTTCTGCGGGCCTCGTAGACACCCTGGTAGGTGCTTGACGAGGATTGGAAGCGGATGTCACGTCGCTTTTCCGGCCGTAGGGTGTTATCCTAGTAGAAGGCGGTTTCAGTTTCGATGGACTATCTGTGTTTGGGATGGAGCTTTGGTCGGATGCTGCACTGTTCGCAGAAAACGATGGACCACTCCTCGACGGAAGACGCATGGACGAGGATGGACGGGAAAGGTAGTCGCTTCCACTTGGTTGGCGAGAAGATGACCTTGACGGCGACCTTGAATAGCTTGTCATTGCAGACGGCGGACGAGACGGCGAGCGCATGGGACTAGTTGCGCCGAAGAAACTACTGGATTGTCTGCTCTGCGGTCTAGGCGAAGGAGGGATTTGGGAAAGAGTCTCGATTGTTCGTTCGGACAGTGATGGTCGTGTGCGACCCCGAGGCTCTGCATCATGAGCCGGTGCATAGTCGGCCTCCAGATAAAGGGATTTGTTGTTTGCTGCCCCTTCGGGTTCTGTTCCCCCCGCATCGCTTGTCCTTGTCTGAGAGATATCTCTTTCTTGTCGCTGAGTACCTAAGGGCTTCTTTGGCACCGTATATTTCGGTAGGGGCTTTTTGAAGACGGGCTCCTGAGAAGGTCTGCTCAAACGACTGGCATGGAGACCTGGGTCGGTTTGTAGCTTCTCGCGTGAGGGGGAGGGACGCAGGGATTTATTGGCGGCAGACGTCGGTAGAGGTAATCTGGAGGCCAAGCGAGGTATGCCACTCGGTCGGCTGGGTGTCTTCTGTGGGTTATCCATCTTTCCGTGGGTTGTAAATGGAGATTAAGCACTTGTGGACGAAAGTGCCAGGTATGGTGATGCGGATTGTGAGAGTTCTAGTTGGTGTAATTCGCTCACAGGAGGAGAGACATGACGATTAGATATGGCAGTGGGACGCTTGAGTAACAGGATCGGGATGGTGCGATACACGAGCGCAATAGCGATGATTCTTGCTGAAGTGCTGTCCTCAGGGACTTGAGGCCGGAATGAATTATTGTTTACAACTTCCCACGAGGGGAAATCGCCGCATGTGCTGCTGCCTGAGGCCGCCAGATCCCTGATCCGCTCCCCACATCGGCGTGATCGTCCCGATGGAACTGGAGGAGACCCAGGACAGGTTTGAGATATATAGTTTGCTCCTTCAGCTTGAGGAAAAAGATTGCATATGTACTATCTAGCAATAGCAGCTCTATAGTGCAACTTGTATGGGCTACAGGCAGGCAAGATGGTTACAGATGTGACAAGTCGCTGACATTATCATCCATGAGGACCAGTCTCCATAAATAGATAGTGGACACTGCTTCTTCAGCCTGTCGCTAAACGAACCTGTCACTAGCAAGAAGCCAGCTGTATGTCATGGTCAAATATGGAGCCTTACTCTATCTAGTACACGGAACTACTAGTGGCTCCGCGTCCCATATGCCATGGTTACGAATAAACCTTTGCTTAGGCCTTATCTACTACCAAAGTCTGGATCTACAAGTGCTAAAATCATGTAACTAGTGATATTTACATAATATATTAAGTTTCCTTGTGATAGCGTTGGCATTTAAGCCCAAACTCGCACTTTTTAGAAGCATATTTCATCAAAGTAACTCACGTGGAATGCCTGGTGTCTGCAAGTCTAGACCCTACTGTCCCAATAGCTTCGCATTAGTTTTATGGATGAACCAATTCCCAGGTCTGATCTACTTAGCCTGAAATCCACATATTCTGGCGTCGACTCCCGATCTCTTAGGCATTCACATAACAGATGACCCTATCTTCTCCCAACCATTCCCATGCAAATCCCCGGGCGTTGAGTAATTCTTCTGTGTCGAGATTGTCTACTCCAGTATATAAGATCACCAGTTTGAAATCATACATATCTCCCAACCAAGGAGAAGAGCTAGGAAATCGGAAAAATGAATACGTAGCGTACATTCCACAGCCCCATAATGTTCTCTACTGAGTAGTCATACAGTAGATTTGAGATGAGAGGAATGTTGCTAATCACTTGGCAAACTAAGCATGTTGGGCCGTGTTTAATAGAACCTAAACCATTGAACCTATCAAAGAAGGTCTAAATACTGAATCAGGATCAATATGAATCCAGTACCATCGGTTGCCCGAGTGACGATAGCTGTGGCCCATGGGGTTCGGCTTGTGTTTACCTTTTGCTGAGTGTCGCGGATCTGGACGCTAGCTGGATCAGGCAAAGTGAAGGATTAGCGCGCGGCTGGGCTCACGTGGGAGCGGGTGGTTGGTCGTGGTTGGTCGAGGCTGAGCATCGCAAGCGACTTCCCAGCCTCCCCGAAATGCGCATCGCCCGCAACAAACATCCTTAAGGCATCAAACCGTCCCTCCGCCGGCGCGCTCCTTACTTCCTTCATCTTGTTCACCTATCTCTATCATCTGCAATACCCCTCTCCGATTCCCCTTGCTCTCTGGAAACGTCTTCCATCAGCCGTCTATCACTCCCCTATCTTAGGTCTTCCGCTCGGGACTCTCTGCTACCGCCTCCTTATCGCCTATTGAGTGCCTTGCTTCGGTCCAACCAACGTGCTTCAACGGCCCTATCAGTGATAAGCGCACCGACCCAGCTATCCATCATAGAGCGACTCGAGGACATCCGATTTGTGGCAGTCAATCCTCAATTGCATCGTGGTCTTGCTCCTTCTAGGATATCTCTCTTCTTCTTTCCGCTCCTGCCCTTAGGGGCTCTACACAGCAACCGTGCTTAAACAATCAACTTCATCCTAGCGAGCTCATCAAACTAGCCGTAGTTTTGATCGATCGTGTTTCGGATCTGGTATGCGTCTGACCGCCCCACGACAACTGTTCAATACAACGCATTGATGCAGCCAATGCTGACCTACTTCTAGTCAAACATTCCTGTCGACGGGTATCACTTACCTGTTTCTACATATTGATATCTGTCATGTCGCAAGATCCTGATTCTCAGCTCTCGCAAGGCTCCCTTGCCCCTCCTGCAGAGATCACCGGCCCCGCAACGCCCATGCAACGTGCAAGTCTATCTGCATCCCCAGACCTGAGTGTAGGCGCTGGAATCCCGGCATCACATTCCGACCAGAGTAAATCTTTATCACCCTCGCTACCTTCATCTGATATGACGCCGCCGCCATCATCACAAATTCCCGGAGCCCCGCGCCAACGGTCAAGATCTACTTCGAGCTCCTTGCTAGCTTCTCCTCCCGATATGCAAAAGACCCTCTGTGTTGCCTATGGCGCCTCAGAAAACCTTCCCACTGCCGATGATCTCGATACCGCCGATGAGTCGAAGCTCCGAGCAATGGCTAAAGACCTGTTGAGTGTTGCCCAAGAGGCTCGCATGTCGGCTCTGCACTTCAAGCTACAAAATAGTCTGCTATCGTTTACTAGTAACGAAGCTATCAAGCGTGCCGAGGTAGAGCATCAGCTCGCTAGAAGAGAGGTCGAGATCATTCAGAGCTCTGAGTATCGAAGCCGTCATTGCCAACCTGAAATCAAAGCAGTGCAGCAGATTTCTAATGTGGAGCTAGAGCTTGCACTTAAGCGCAATCAAGAGCTTGGAAGAGTAAATGCCACACTTGATCGGCGGTTGCGTCGGGCTAAGAAGCTAATTGAGCAAGAGAAGGAGAGGTCAGACCTTCTTGAGGAAGAAAACAAGTTGCTGAAAGAGCGTATCAGAGACAACCGGAAGCATTTCTCTCAGATGATTGAACATGGTCCAATGTCACCCAGCCCCCAGAGAGAAATGCAAGCTTCTCAGAGGAGGCCTGTACCTCACTATGTGGAGCACGATGGCCATCAGATGAACGGTAGCGATAGCCATGACCCGTTTGCGCAACTCCTTGCTGCCGACCGTGTCCTCAATCGAGGATCACCGAGTGTCACATCCACACCACACCGGAACCGTACTTATAAGCAGCATAATGATGGCCAGATGCGTGGAAACCACACACTCGCCTCCGTTCCCGTAACACCGTCTCGTGCTCGGATGGCCTCTGGAGGGAACCAATATAACACACCGGGCAGGGAGTCTCATGATAGCCACCGTGATCGAGACAGCACTATATCGGCGTCCGACATCGAGGAGGCTGAAACGGAGGAAGACGTCCCAGCATCAGAGGCTGGAGCTCTTGCTAGCAGCATGCTTCGTCCCCACGCTTTCAGCAACCGTCGTGAGAGCCGAGGCATCGCGAATGCACCCAAGTCCAGCACACTGTTGCAGACCAAATTGTTTGGCCAAGTGAGGAAATCAGGTGTTGAGCGTCCATCGACTGGTCTTAAACGCAAGGCGAGTTTTGATGGTGCGTCTTCGAAGAAAATGAAAGCGGAGGAGAGGGTGGGTCTCGGCATTGACACCTGGAATAAATAAGCATGACCCGTGCACAACCATGGAGCGTGTGTATCACGTATACCGGGCTTCTAGCTGTCTATCTACTATCTACTTCCTCACCGCCACGACTTCTAGTCGCATATCACTTTTGCGGGTCAAAGCTGGTTATGGCTGGATATGCTTGCTATTCAAAGCGGGTGCTGCTTGGATCTTGACTTTGTTTCTTATGTACTTTTCTTCCCTTCCTGGGGGTCTGTGACGAATGATGAACTGTAAAATCCGATGGGGCACCGGGTGTTTTTTCTAAGGGTACTACGACTTATTGGCAACTGGTTCTGGGATTTATCACACAGGAGTATCTCTATGGTTTCTCAGTATGTCGATGGCTTCAATACGAATAGTTGGGCAGATTTGGACATAATGTCATCATGAATAAGATATTGTTAACTGATGTATCATCTGCAATCGGTCGAGCGAATAATTCCATATACTGCTTTGGTAGATGGCTCGCAGAGGGTCCTCCTGATAACTTCCAAGTTCGTCGAACCGCCAAGTCACATGGGTCTTACTCAGCGTGTAACGATGTAACAAGCGTGTACGGCAACGAACTTACCTGGAAGTAACTAGTACCAGGGAAGAACAATACAGTACGGGCGGTCGGTCGCAAAGAGTAGAAGCACAGCCTGAGTCGCAACACTCCAGCAGCCAGTGAGCCTACCACCAGGCAATGAGAATAATATTTGACGTAGATACACATGTAACATAAGACTCCAATCATCCTAGTCGAGTCTGGATGGCAGTCCCAGATCCCAAGAACCGTTCTGCCACGGAGAAAGTCTGGGGGTGACCTTCCGAAACGGGTAAGCAGGGTAGGGCTCGCTAAGCGAGGCGATGCGGCTCTGCGCGGTTGGCCACACCAAAAAAAGTTCCACCTAATAGTGAGACGAGGAGTTTTGAGATACGACCAGCAACCACCCACGACGACGACGACAATCTCCCGGCCTTGATCCCCATCCGTCACAATGGTGCGTTATTCTATCCAATATTGTTCAAATGGCGTCGCTAGATTGTCAAATTGATGATCGGACGCTATTTTTTTTTTTTTCGCAAAGGACTTCATGTGCTGACCTGGAACCTCTTGGTGGATATAGGCGATCAAGCACAACAACCAGATTCTCAACCAGCGTGAGTGAACCTGCTCGAGGAAGGATACGATGGTGGATATTTATCAATATATCGGGTTTCAACTGGCCGGCTGGAATAATATGGACTGATGGGTTTCGATTTCAGACTTCCACAAGGACTGGCAGCGTCGTGTCCGCGTGCACTTCGACCAGGTACGCTCTCGAAAATAAAATCCTTTTACCCAACCGATTCCTACCTACAACGAGCGACTCGCCTATTTGGAAAAGAATACGGGATGGGAAAATTTTTTCCTATATGCGTGGTGGACTGACATGTATTTTTTTGCTTCAATAGCCTGGCCGCAAGCACCGCCGTCGTGAGGCCCGTCTCGCTAAGGCCGCCGCTGTTGCTCCTCGTCCGGTTGACCAGCTGCGCCCCGTTGTGCGCTGCCCTACCGTCAAGTACAACCGCCGTGTCCGTGCTGGCCGTGGTTTCACCCTTGCTGAGCTGAAGGTAAATTCGTCCCTTGTGTGCAAGACAATGTCACCAGAAAGAAGAAACTGGTGATGGCGCTTGGAAATCAGCCCTGGCGACTGGGCAGGACGAATATATTGGACCGAGGCTTACATGATTATTTTTTTTCTCGCACTATAGGAAGCTGGTATCCCCAAGAAGCTCGCTCGCACCGTCGGTATCGCCGTTGACCACCGCCGTGTCAACTACTCCAAGGAGTCGCTCGTCGCCAATGTTGCTCGCCTCCAGGACTACAAGGCTCGCCTGATCCTCTTCCCCCGCAAGAGCGGTCAGTTCAAGAAGCTTGACTCTTCCGCTGAGGAGGTCAACGCTGCCAAGGCTGCTTTCGCCGAGGGCAAGACCGAGGGCTTCGCCACCCGTGTCGGTGGTGCCCTCCCCATCAAGAACGCCACTCTCGCTGAGGCCGTCACCGAGGTCAAGCGTGACGACCTCCCCAAGGGTGAGGAGGCTGCTTACCGCCGGCTGCGTGAGGCCCGCAGCGAGGCTCGCTACAAGGGTATCCGGGAGAAGCGTGCTAAGGCCAAGGCTGATGAGGAGTCTGCCGCCAAGAAATAGATATCTTGAATCACAGCTAATGATGATCGGGTCAATTTTCAAGTCGGGGATTAGTACCTTGTGTGGCATGGCGTCGCTCCTCTATTTTCCGTTTTCACCTTTGTCCTTAACATAAAAAGCTCCGAAACCCCCTCGAAATGCAAATGTCCCAAATTTTCATGTCTCCAGAAAAGCTACTAGCTCCCCACCCTAACGCGAATGAAGTGAAGACCCCAACCTCCTTTTCTTTGTCGTCTTTATCTTTATGTTCCTTCCGGACGATTTTGCCCATTCGATCTATCTACCGAAGGACGCGGGAACCGAGCCTCAGGCTTCGGGTTTATCTCAAAAATACCCACTTGGAAACGGTAGACTTGAAGCACGCAGAGGCACGGAGCAAGCTAGTGTACAAATGCGATGATATACGGAGTATATTCAATGTGCCCACCTCGTTATCTTGTAGATGTTAGTTCGTAGTTTCGGCATGAATTTTAACTGTATGTGGATAACTGTCATGCAGCCCAGCTTGTCTGATAAGATCCTTGCATATAATCTTATGGTCATACTTTCCTAATGGGGTTACTATCGCGATTTATACTATTAGCCAGCTGCCATAGCCTAGATCTCACACACTTCCTCTGCAAGCCACCCAGGTAGATACAAAGTTAGTGCCATCCAATACAAGATCCATATCCAATGAATTCACCGGGCATGAGATGCCAGGTCAGGAGCGTATATATTACATGAAAAGAAAGTAAACCCGAAGGATTCGATAAATTGACAAAGACCGCTGAACTAATTCGCCGACGACGCCGACGTCGACAACCCCCTATCGCTTCCCATCCCATCCAAATTGAGGAAAACGCCTTTGACATCCGTCTATTCCAACTAAACTAGCACTTGATTATGTCATATATGATCCGGGTATTCATTTCTTGGAGTTAGTACTGAGCAAAGCGCGCAAGACGCAGTCTGTAGCTCTTAGAATTGTGCTAGCAGAGACTCCGCTGCCGCTACTTCCAGCTTGGTTGTTCTCGTTCGGATTCAAGATGGATTGGAACAGGCGTTTGGATTCCTGATCCACCTTGCGCCTGGAGCCGCTGTCGAACTCGGATAATAGAGAAACGCTGAGTCCCGGTGCTAGTTGTGGCTCACTTGTCCACTCGTCCAGTGTTAATTGGCATGACACAAGAACTTTCGGTGAGCCGCTCTTGGATTCGAAGAGCATAGACGTGCGCTCGAGGTGCGGGAGAATTTGACGCAGTTCTGACATGCCAAGGGGTTGCGAGCTTGCGCTCTTCGATTTAGTCACCTGGTCCCGTTTCGCATGTCCACTGATTAATTCTGCATGTTGCTCCTCCATGTGTAACCATAACTCAGCACGCGATACCATGGCCTCCCAGTATCGGTTAATGCCCCAGCACAGACCTGTGACATCTAGCTTAAGCAATGGATTGGCAAGCCTGGTGTCGATCCAACGCCGTAGATCCTCTGGGGTCCTTGTATCTTCTCCATTCGCCTGTGAAGCAAATGATATGGAGACCAAGCTTTGTGTTTCTGGGTTGACGTCGCAGGTTACAGATACTTTGTAGCGGTTGGAAGGGAAGGGAGGCGGGGCGGAAAACTGGAGAGTATGTCTCTCCAAGACAAGGTTGGGGGTGGAATTAGGTATGGTTTCAGAGTACGCCGTAAGCTGTAACGGCGCAAGGGCTGTTAGATATGCTTCTGTTTGCGCATGCTCTCCAAGCGCAAATGGGTTCACTGGAGGGGCCTCGGGCGGGGGTTTCGGGGGTCCCTTGGTGGCAAAAGGGAGTAATGAAGAGATGAGAGACGATATGGAGGTTTCCCCTGAGACCGTTGGAGTCGATTGAGGAGGATTCGTTGCTGTTAACAAAGTACTGTTGGCCGGTCAGTGGCAAGTCATTGACGGCGGGACAAGCGTGTGCAACTCACATTAACCCGGTCAATCCTCGCTCATCACCGGCTTCATCTTGCGCCAGGTCTTTCGACCACGTCTCCAGTTCCGAGATTTCGTTCCTCAATTGCTGTAGTTCAGAAGCGAGTTTGTTCTTCAATTTGCGCTTCGTCAAAATCTCCTCCGGTAAGGAAGTCCGATCCAACAAGAGGCCTGAATCCGCGGATTCTCCTGCCTCGCCATAGTCGACTTTCCTCAGCTTTGACGGGCTTTGTTCTCGACCATCTGTATTCCTTCTTTTCCCCCACTTTCCCTGTTGCGAGCTCGGGCTACTGCTTAGAAGTCCTTTTGGCCGCCCTGGAGGCCGTTCCAGGCCCAACTGGGTCGGCGTCGGTGGCAGGTCTGGCTCGTCTAGGATGTCCTGGAATGACGGTTGTGGTAAAGCCTCATTCGCATCTATATCACCGGTCGCGCTGTCCAGTTCCGACGCCAATTGGTTTTCCGGGGTATCGGTAGGTGGTGGTAATTTTTCTGTACTCTGTTGGGATGCAGATGGGGACCGGAACACGAGATCGGAGGCAGTAATTCTTGTTGAGACTCGCCTTGGAGGCGCCGCAAAAGCAGCCAGACCGCTAGAGCGACGGCCAGAAAGGGATGATGCAGGCGACTGTTTGCTACCCTTGAGGGAGCCCAGAGGGCTGGCAGTCGAGGTCAAGGACGGTCTCAGTGCCTTGCGGTCTCGTAGACCGAGCGCTCTCGTTCGGGCTTGATTCGGTTTCTGCATGGTTTTCGCCGGAGACTTATTATTCTCAGTCTCGAGAAGGATGGGATGCGATCTGGCTAAGCTCGCTCTAGTGGGAGCTTGGTAGGACATTCGTTGACTGGTGCGCTGCTGGGGGTCATCCTGAGAAGGCGCGGGGTCGTTCATTTGCGACGCGCTGACGAAGGTCACGGTCGGGGTCGCTTGTGTAACGGCTCGTGAAGAGGTGAAGACAAAACACCTAATCAGCCGTCCATGCGAAATCAAGAAAAGACAACCTCCGCAGAGGGGATAGAGCAGCGTCCGTGGGAAGCGCTATCTCCAAACATCAACAACAACATCCACTGCTTTGCCGGTTTGCACTGTTTGCAGCCTCGGGATTATGACATAACCGCCGCTTTCTCATCTTCTGCCATCTCTTTCCGATCTTCCTCTTCTTCTTGTCGCAACTCCAACTTCACCATGGACGCTCCTTGTCTGGCGATTCGTTCGCCCCTCCTCAGACGTTGTCATGTCTGTCTTTCCGGTTCGCGCATACCCGATGCATCTCGCTTGACCCGACCACGTGCCGTTACCCCATTCATTCGGCGCTCCAGCACCCGCAGATATGCCACCGTTCAAGACACACAGGCGGGCGGTTTGAATGACTCCAAATCCCGTCAAGCGCATCCGCTATCGGGTTATTACTACGATATTTTGTCCACTCGCTCACCCTACCGACACCACGCAACAACCGATACCAAGACAGAAGAGCCCAAGTCAGAGGCGCAAACACCACAGGAAAAGATGGCCATTGTCTTCGGCACTCGGTTAGCTGGTCCCGGCCGGTCCTCACGCTACGATCCGGGCTCCGCACCGGATACGACTTGGAAAACCATAAACGGGGTGGCCATCCCTCCTCGGCCGGAGGAGCCCGACAATTGCTGCATGAGTGGCTGTGTCCACTGCGTATGGGACGATTTCCGAGACGAGCTGGAGGACTGGGCCTTCAGGCTTGAACAAGCCAAGGCGAAGGGTGCGACCAAAAGTGATGCCTCGGATATGCGGCATACCCCACGAGCAGAAGTCCACTCAGCCAGCATGAGCATGGATGACGATGGTGGTGGCAGTGAGGCCAATTGGTCGGCGCCTTCTTCGGACGATGACTTGTTTGCGAGTATCCCTGTGGGGATTCGAGAGTTCATGAAGACGGAGAAGAAACTGAAGCAACGGCATCAGCAGGAATCGGTGTGAAATGATGCCCAGTACATTTCTTTCTGCTTAGTGGCATTTTTCTCTTCTCTACTACGAATACCCTTGTATGATGATTGATGTGGATTAGCTTGGTGTTTGGACTAGATTTGTACATAGACTATACTACTGCTGTTTAGATGTAGAGAATGTATATATTGCTCCGCCATGGTGGTGCTGAGATTATATATGCAGGTGACAGGGAAGCATAATGATCCTAAAGCCAGTAGACATTCACATGAAATTGTAGTCGTCCAAATGACGAAATCTAGCCATCATGTACTACTTACCTACCAGATAGAATTATTCTCTCGATATGACCAAGATCACAACCCCCATCAATAATATACTACCTCTAATACTACCTATCCCCTCCCAAAAAAAGCAGTCCCGCACTCCACCGCCCAGAAATTCTGCCACCGAATCCCGCCCTGCTATCGCAAAAAGTTCCATCCATATCGAGCAATCAAACCACCGAAAAACCCAATAACAAAATAGACAAAAAAGCAGACAAAATGTCGACATCGAAATCAGAAACAGACATAATCCTCAATAAGGCAAATGTAGCGCTAGCTCGAAGCCAGCGTCTCGTTGCCTCATGGCTACCTGCACCGACGACAGACGACCAAGCGAACAGCAAGAAAACCGAAGAGGAATTACAACGAGAAGAGGATGAGATTTTCACGGCGGTTCCGGAGACGTATGTTACTCTTTCGTTTTCTTTCATTATCTATGCTTTCTTTACTTTCTCTGGAGTATCTTCCGAGGGTAGAGGAGGGTTTCGAAGAGAAAATGCAACAATTGATAGAAATATCATAACTAACAATGAATCCAATGTATAGATTAGGAGTCGGTGCACCACTCCCTACTAAAGCCGTGGATGGAAGTTGGAATCGGACTGAATTGGATTCGAATGACAAATTACGGAAACAGCTCCTGGGGAGGAATTACCAGAAGGTGATGGCTGCGAAGAAGGCCTCGACTGCGAAGGGAGGCAGTAACGATGCTGCTGCTGCGTCAACAAATCCCACTAAGAATGGGGTGGCGAAAACGGAAGAAGAGGATGATGATGATGACGAGGAAGAGGGACGGACGGCGGCGATAGGGAAGAAGAAAGCTATGTCAGCGAAAAAGCGCAAGGCGCCTGAACCGCAAGCTCAGACGGATATCGAGGCGGTTGGAGGTGAATCCGGAGAATCAAAGCAGACGAGTGATGTCGGTGATGGCACTGAAGACAAAGCCGATCAGTTGGACAAGCAACCGGGAGCTTCATCACGGCCCGCTAGGGGGAGAAAGAAGGGAACGAGCTTCTTGGATGAGATCTTGGCTGAGCGGTCGAAGAAGAGAAAGAAGAGGTAAACAAGGATATTTGTGACACCCTCTCACCTCACCTTAACGGAGCCCAGTCTACGATATAATCAGATGTATAACCTCAAGGAAATGAATATACCCATTTAGTTCACTGTGTACAGTTATTTGTGAATACGTCGAAAATTGTTCATCAGATCCAAAAAAAGACTCATTGATTGTGCGCCTGCAGCCGGATGTCACTATGTCCTCTGCAAATCTAGATTACTATACCCACACAATATCGTGCACCACCACCCCAAACCCAGGGTATATAATATAACAACAGGAAGGCGGAGCAGCCCGAGAACGGTTCTCTGTGCAAGGGCCTTCCACCATCAGAAAGCAATGCTGTCCAAGAAATATAAAAGAAGAAAACAGATTAGTGCCGTCCAAACCATGCCCGGTAAGCACGGGTTCCACATGCTGGAATCCATGTATGTTGTGTCAATTGTACAGTAGATGTTCCCACCCAGAAAGAAGATAAACACAGAAAGTACAGATGGGCAATACTCCACAAGATGCAGTACCAGTCCAGAAATGAAGGCTGAGAGTGAGTTTCTCCTGGTGATATGCTTTTCCTTTACCCCTTTCCAAATATAAAAAAACGTGCGCCCCGAAGAACAAGAAGTCTATAGCTCCGATTCCGGTAGGGTCCCGAATATCAGCGCCAAGCAATGCTCCTGCGAGAATCCCCGGATCAAGGATATGAATGAAGCAAGTAATAATGATGAAGTTGAGTTTATTCCAATCGCTTCCGTTTCCGATCGTCGGCCATAGCATGCTGGTCTTCGTCCGGCCGTTCAGCGGTATCAGCCGGGTTCAGAAGCGAATGAACATTGCTGGCCATGCTGGAACGTCGAGTTGCTGGCAAGGACGATTCGTGTCGAGGGAATCTAGGTCCTAAAGACCAGCCGTTATCGGTTGGGGGATTCTGATCGGGGTGCAAAGGGGGAGTTGGGTGTCGATGTTCCTGCAGACGCCGCGGTGCACCCATTTCATACTGGGCTAACACATCTCGGACCGATTGCTCACTTGACGTCGGAGTCCGGTGTCGAGAGGGAGACCAGGGGTTCGTTGGCTGCGGGGGGTGTGCGGAAGGGAATGGCGACACTCCCGGTGGCGGCCAACCATGCTGTCTGATGTCCGCCGAAGTGTGTCGGCGCGCAAGATTAGGCCCAGGCGGAGAGGATACGGACGAAAGAGGATGAGGCATGGGTTGCTGCGGAGTGACGACCGCTGGCACTTGCGGACGGTTGTAGCTGGGGGAAGAATTTCCAGCGCCAATTGACCCGTACCGCCGCGGAGAGACGGCCAGATGAGGGGGGACAGGGGGCCGAATCATACCGGCCCTCGAGGGGTCCAGCATCGATGGGCGGCGACTCTCTTCCGGGGGCATTTGGCGCGGCGACAGCGGCGGACCTGCATCGCCAGAAATGCCGGTGACGTAGGGTTGTCGGACAGCCAAATATGGGTCCGGAGGATGCTCCAGGGCCCGCACAGCCTCAAGGTGCTTCTCCAATTCCGCCTGCATGGAGGCCACTACACCAGACTCGTTAGTCAATCCTGCAGTTGGGGCTATCAATGGTGGATGTGCCTCACCGTCTCGATACAGAAGGCTCTCGCGATCGGGGATCATGCCTTGGAGGAAACGTGAAATTGAGTGAGTCCACTGGACGACGAGAAGAATCAGCAAACCAAAACCACTAGATGTTGCGATCGCATTGGAGGCCCGTCAACTTACGTGATAACACCTGGTTAAGCTCTCGGCCATGTATTGACATCTTGCATTAAGGGTCGCATTTCCCTCTTCGGCGTTCCTTAGACGAGCATGCAAGTCATACATGGAGTGTTCCAGGTTCATCAAACGGGACTCGGTGACATCGGGAACTGGCTCAGCGGGGGTGCCGGGCTGGGAGGCGGCGGCCTTGTGACCAGGAAATGAGTCGCGATGGATCAATGCATGACGGGATGCGCGCCGCTTGATCTCTCGCAAACCCACAAGATCTCCGCGCTTGAAGTTGCCATTCCCATGTTTAAACTCCCACAGAGCGGAGTCTGGCGAACCGGTGTGGAATACATCGCTCACTGGGATCCATGTGTATCAATAACGGTCGGGGCAATGCTATTTGCTGTCTCAGCCCGCATACCTTTATGAAATCCGTACATATTCAGCTGCCTGACGAAGGACGAAATGTTGGTGTGCTTGAAGTATTGTCTGAGCTGTTCGTTAGCAGCTAGTTCCCACAGAGCGCGATAGGCTACGATAGGGGAAGACTAACGCCAGGACTTTGGAGAATTCGGAAGTCGGGGACATGACGAAGCTGTCATTCGTACTCGACCACGAGATGAGGTGCTGAATACTGGGATCCTCTAGCATACTATACAGTGTTGTTAGCTCGAGCCCGTAACCGTGAAGGGTAAGGGGAACGGGGGAGGTATTCGATAGGATGCAACAAAACGGAAGAATGAACGACAAAAATGGCCTCCGACGTACTTGTAGAGCTTGTGAATAAAGGCCGTCTGAACGACCTTTGGCTGCTGAGCAGCAGCAGCCGCACCGATGGCTTGAGTGGGAGCGGCATGGTGGTTCACATTGGAAGGTTCAGTAGAACCATTGGTGGCGGTGGTGTTGCTTGCGCCCGCCCGGTCGCTATCGGGACTGCTATGGATGGGGGGCGCAGCGCCCGAGGCAGGAGGAGTAACCTCCATGGGGTCACCGGTGGACTGGCTGGAGGGAGGAACGGAGGAGGCAAGGACAGGAATCTTGCGGGTTTTGCCGGGCGCATCGATAGCAGTGAGGATAAGCGGACTTCTGGACGGGGGATCGGCGAGACCGCTCATCTCGCGCGGCGGAACAGGGGGGGG